AAAATGTTCCGGAGGGCTTGGCAGCGAAAGGGTTAAAACAGCATTAATTCATAGATTAAAAAACAACTGTATACAATTGTAAGAAATTCGGAAGGTAAGTTGCAACAAGGAGAACCAACAACAGTTCTGTGGATTTAGATTATCTCTGTGGGTGCCAACATCTTTTTCAGAACCTTATGTTCTTCTTTTCACTGAAGATAGTTATTTAATAACTTTGCTGTATGTTTGGGGTAATTGTCCTGCTTCAGAATGCATTTGGGACTGAACAGATGCCTCTCTGCATCTGCTTTAAAGTGCAGTACTGACATCTTATTAAATTACACTGGATGTGATGACCAATGGTTGTGGAACACAGGGCAGCTTTGCACACTACCTTAAAATACGGATAGTAAAAAAAACCTTTTGTTTGGGGAAAGTGTTGGAAGCGGAGACACATTAAAAGACCTTCTATTGTACCCCTCAGTGATGTAGATGTTGGGCTTTATGTGATCCTGATAGGTATACTACAAAAGCAGATGTAGGCTGCCTGTATAAACTGAAATAGTTTTTTTTTTTTTACTGATAAAAGAAAGCAGAGAGACATTCAGCAGGTACGGATAAGTTTAATACTTACACATCCACCTGCAAGAATCTCAGCTGCAAAAGGAATGGAGCCATCCTTGATCGTAAATTTATCTCGTACAAGATCATTTATCTGAAACACAAATACAAACTCCAGGCTTAAAATACATCTGCAAGAGGAAAGAGCTCCACACACAAGACACATTCTGGAAAAAGCACGATGTACAGCTTTATATTATAAAAGATCACCATCACATTCCATGAACGCCTGTTCCATGAACGCCTGCGATTTCAATGGGTGCCGCATGTGCAACAAAAGCAGGAAAGTAGCGCATGTAGCATATTCTGCTACAGGCGTACCGCATTTTTTTAACCACGCGTTTGTGTGTGTTTTATGTGCGTCAATGCGTGGCCGCCCGGCCGCATTTGGGGTGCCATTAACAAGCAATATCTGTAAAAAATAAGTCAAGGCAACTTTTTACAGATATACCATGACCTGGATGAATGAGAACCTTCACAGATATTAACAAGTAATGGCACTGCAAGCATGTTGCACGTTTTGGATGGAACGCGAAGGTGTGAACAGGGAAAACTAGCTAATAAGCACTATCTATACTATTTAAGCAGCCTGTATCCATCCAGGCAGATCCTTGCATGCAGAACTGTTGGTAGATCTAAAGTAGATTGTACAGTCAGATTGTAACGTGTGTGATGAGCTCTTTAACAAACATGATGTTGGCACACATTTCACTTACAGTAAGTTTAATAGCTTTTTCTGGTGCCACTCCAAGCAGCTGCGGCAAAAGACCTGCATAAAATAAAACCAAATCAGTACAAACTCTGTAGCAAATAAATTTTCAATATACAGAAATGTAAAAGTGCATTTGCCCTAAACATGGACCTGCACTTAAAGTGAAGATATACCATCTGATAGGGACCATCTAAAATGTTAATTGGGCCTAAGCAGTACCATTTGTCTAGATTATGCACTCCTGATCCAGTATCCGCAGTGCGAGATTTAAGTCACTGTGCTTCTGACTGCTTGTCTCACAGATCTGGGAGATGTCCCTACTATACTGCTTACAGGTCTCCTTGCTGGAGAGGAAGCTGTACCTGAAGACCTGCAGTGTAAGGATCTCCCTGCTTCGTTCTGTGGATCTGTGCTCTCTAAACCTGACCTGCTGCTTTTTGAATATTCCTTCTATAATCATCAGATCACCAGTCATCAGGAGGGCAGCTGTGACAAGGGGAAGCAAAAGGCGGCTCTCTAGCAAGATGGCCAACTCTACACAGAGACACAGTCTAGAACAAAGCACAGCATATCAGTAAAGGTGAACAGATTAGATGCATGGAGCCAACAGGCAATACTGATGACTAGTCCTTTAGTTGTATTTTGTCAGTTTCCAGGGATAGTGATGGATTCCTAAGCGCATGTAATCGTATCACTTTTGATTACATGCAGTTTGTCAGTATTCGAATGCAGCGGCTGTCACCTGACCATTAACTTGGATGGGTTATAGCTGCTGCTTGTAAACGGCATATTAGGGATTTCTGCTGCAGGAAATGGAAAGTTCCCGTCGCAGGAATCCCGAATTGCACCTAAAATATAGGTGTGAATGGACCCTTAAAGATGACCATTTATACTTAATTGTGCTCTATGACAAAACAGAACTAGTTATATGTACCTGGATGCCTGCCGAAACCTCTTTCTTTTGTAAGACAATGTTATACCTTTTGTTCAAATTCATAAAAGTTACAGCAAGCAAGCAAAAAAGCAAAACATCCTCTCAACAACATTGCGGTGGGAATAGCAGGGATCTGAGGTCAAGTGCTCCGGACCACCCCAGATTTTAAAGTTAAGCATGCATGTGCGAACTCTCCAGTGAAGGTGCTAATCCCCTTGGAACTGAAGTGGGAACCACACACAGAATCCCTGCTCCCTTGACCTTCCTGGTGGCAATGAAACACCTTTCATAATGCTCTGGGCCCAACTTTATGTAGATGTTTTTGAAGAAGAAAAACTGAACAGCTGTTCGTTATTTTAAAAACCAACATATTTGTACATACTTATATTAGTATGAACCTAAGAACTAGTGACTATATCTCTGTAGCCAGCGCACATGCGTTAAAAAAATGTAAGCCCCAAATAAACTGGCTTTTTATACAGCAAAACAAGCAGGCCTTTATTCATTGCTCCACTTAAAAGAACTGGCACCAGTTTAATCATATAAGCCAATTAAAGACAACCTCTCATTTCCCTCTATGGTCACATCTAGTCATCTGCAGACACAGGGTTCCCTGAATGCAATGGTAAACAAAAAAAGGAATGCGATGCATACGTTAGATGCACAATATTCCTAGGCTACCCCATGGTTACCCTGCAGATACTTGTACAAAGAATTCACATCTAAAAAGGATGTATTCTTTCCTCTAACTTCAGAAAATATTTTCTTCTCTGTTCACCACCTCCTCCTTTTTTTCGGGTTTTGTTTTGTGAGCAGGCTTCCAGCGCAGAACAGTGGAGGCCGGACGCAAGAGCCCACCTTTCTTTTGTCGACCTTCTTGTTAGCTGGTATACAAGTGGTTAAAGTGTATGTACAGATAAAACTTTAGTTTTGGATAGTGTGGAGAAGTTAAAGGAGAACTATGGGGTTAGGGCTTTTCCCCATAGTTCTCCTAAGGGTAACGGGGGGACACAAACTAGCGTCCTCCCGTCACCCAAAGCTCAGTATACCGCGAGCCAGAGCTCGCAGTATACTGAGACGCCACAGCTGAAACGGATACCGACAATTATGTCTGGATCCACCCAGCTGTGTGACTGACAGCTGGCTCTGCCTATCTAGAGGCAGAGTCAGCTGTACCCGCCCCCTCCCCCGTCCGTTCTGCCAGTCATCGCTGGAGGATCGGACAGGGGAGGGGGAAAACCAGCCCCTCTCCTGTCACGGCTCTCTGCAGTGACAGGATCCAGGATCGAGAGGTGAGCGAACGCCGCTAATGTGTTCGCTCACTTCCCGATCTACTGAGCCGACCTGTGACAGTTTCTTTGTCACAGGTCGGCTAGAACTATGAGGATGAGTGAAAATCACTCACCTCATAGTTCTCCTTTAACCCTGCTGGAGAGATTCACCCTCTCTAACCTGCTGACCATTGTCAATAGGACAGAAAAAGTTGGGAAACTCAAAATCTTACAGTTGTGACCAGAACAAGAGGTGGGGGAAATCTTCCAATGGGGACACCTGTTCAGGTGATAACCAAGAGGAAATTTTTGTTCACTTTGGAGAAGTTTTCTTTTACTTCCTGTAATGTCTACAGTACAAAGATGGCTAAAAAATACCTGACAGGGTTTTTTTTTTAGCCATTCCCTACTCTTTCCAAGATGTAAAAAAAAAATGTTCTAAACGTTGAATATACTTTTATCTGTAAAACATGTAAAAAAAATAAAAATAAAAGCAGACAGAGAAAGGATTTGTACATTTCTCCAATGTGAAAGGTTTACAGAAATTGGTGTTCCTCCTCACCAGCTCCTTTCATGGGCATAAAGCAAGGTACTTGGGAGAGGAAATCCCATCATTCTCACAATGCAGACGCTTTGGCAAGGCATCCAGATTATGACCATTTGAGACGTCGGGGGGTGCGGATAGATTTGAAGGACATAAATCAGCAGAATATAGAAAACAAAAACACCCCACTGATGTCATTTCCCCTCTACACACTACGTCTGTATTTTCACAAGTTGTGAGATTCTATTTATTTTTATTTTTTATTAAGCTTTACATGACAGTTTTCATCATTTTGCTTATGTCATTATGAGTTTATGGGCCAGTGACACCCACAGTTTCAGGGATCCATGTTTCTGTGGTTTTAGGAGTATTTTCTTTAATATTTACAGCCTTCAGATTTTTTAATTTCGGGGCTAGGTGGGAGGCACCAGTTTTTCACTCAGATGTGCGATTTGAAAAAGCATGTACTTCTTGGCAGAGCCGTAGCTAGCTCTTTTTGGGCCGAGAAAGAACAGAAAATTGTGCCCTCCAACAGACATGTGCGGTATGTGACGTCATGCGCCCCGCCTCCAGGATGGTGGCACGCATGCGCAGAATGCGCTGGTGGCCAAATCCAAAATAGCATAAAAAAATATTTCGTTTGACATGTGTGTGTGTGTTTTTTTTTTTATTATGATTTGTATTCATTTTTTTTTTACTGTTGGGGGCTTTGTGGAAATATTGAAGGTCAAAAACAGACCCCTGACATTTCCCTTTTGAAATAGAAAAAGAGATTGAGGACACAGAGTCCTCTGCCCATACAGGCGGGGGAAAGCAGCGGGGATCTGAGGAGAAGCTGGAGCTTGTGCAGCTCCTCTTCTCTCTGCCGAGCAGCGGCTGTGCTGGCCACCTGGCACCTCTGCTGCCAATGCGCCCTGTGCTTGCCATGACAAAAGGGGTGAGGGGGCGCAGCCAGGCCGGCCCTGGTCGCACCACCTCTCAGCTGCGCCCAAGGCGAGTGCCTCACTCACACCATGGTAGCTACAGCCCTGCTTCTTGGATATATTATATTTACTGAACAAGTTTAATGGTATTTTAACATTTACCTGAAGGTAATTTTTTACTGTGAATACCATTTTTGTTTGCCGTATTGCTCCATATTTTAAAGGACATATTTTATGCACCTTAAAGCTCCCTCTAGTGGTCACCGGTGAAATGTGATTAGCATCATTGCTTGTGACTGCTGACAGTTTATTGTTTTCAATCAGGTCAGACCAGTTTTGAGAGGGAGAGTAGCATTGAAAATTGGCTATTACTATGCGACAGTACAAAGCAGGAGGCAGAGTCTGCATATGTAATTAGCAAATATGGTATCAAATGCATGTCTCAGAAAGTACTGCCACTGGAACAGTTTGACAGCTGGACAACTAGAAGTTTTAGAAGTTGGTCAGCAGCCCCAAAAAGGATCAAGGGCAAAGAATTAGTCACTAGTATTGCCTGCGGTCTCCATGCAGCCGATTTTCTTTCCCCTGTTACTGACATGCCATGTCTTGTTCTGCAGCGTGTCTATGTGTGGAGGCGGCCATCTTGTATACAGTATCGGTATCTGTGCATCCATAGTTTTCTTGAATCTGTTGTAGCACTTGCTAACATGGCACTGCACGTGATCTTTATTTACGAACGTTGTCATGAGCTAGGTGAAAGCGTTTTGGTGATTTTAATAACCTTGTGCTAGTTTTAGGTCCAATTATGCTCAGGAAACCAATGCAGTCCCTTACTGTTAACAATTGCAATGAGGACCCATTAGACAGCATGTATTTGATTGCATGCACTAGCCCTAGAACAAGCCCGAACGATTGTCACATGAACTTAAGATAACTTCCTACATGGCACGGATTGGTGTGGATTTTTTATATTGCCAGCACACCGCCAGCCTTCTCCAACAATTTGTTTTTTGTTTATACAATAGTCACACGAATGGCCTGGAGGCAAGTGCAGTGGCTGTCAGAGTTCAGCACCCAATATTCCATACAGCTTCATTGACACTAACTAGGTCAATGGAACATAGTAGCTGTAATATTTAGAGGTCTAATACAGTGGGGAGCTTAAAGTGACATTAAACCCTCAGATTTTTTTAACATAAACCAATACTGTAATGTGTGCCTAACTGTAATCCATGGTTGTTTCTCCTCTTTGCTGCTCTTCCTTTTAAATCCTTCTCTCTTCTCATGCTTGGGTAGAACTTCCCTTTGCAGCTGAGTGCCTCTTCCTGTAGTGCTGGCTCAGGTTGTGAACCTACACCATTTGAGCTGCAAAAAAATAATTCTAAGCTGTGATCTCAGGCTTGTCGAAATTTGTTTCTGTTGGACTACAGAACACCTACTTACAAAGATGTGGGAGATGTTCTGAAGTGCAGCATGGGAGAACGATGCAGGGCTGACAACACTGCTTGGGATGTTGGCACAGCAGAGGCTCAAAAATGAAGTTAGGACCACCCTGGATTTCTGGTATTTTTTCGTACTTGCCCAGACAAACTTTAAAATATACAATTTATTGGTTAACTAAGTTTGACACAAGCTTCTAAACACATTAGGTTTGGTCTTCTGGCATTTTGAAAGATGGCCAACGCAAGATTTCACTTAAAAAATTCCGCATCCATCGCTTCTAGTTTTTGGTTTATTTTTTACATGTAACGTTTACTACCCAATGGCTTCTTTAGTGGGTCCTGTGCTGCGAAATTACACTACAACAGTAACTTCCCAGTGATCAATAAAAGCATACATGTGGTCCGGTGACATTACACTGGTCATTAGTACCCCTCCCTGCTTATGGTTGAAATGCAGTATGGCATGTGACTGGGATATGCTAACCCCCTTAGTGACACAGCTTCAGAAATTTTTTAGTTCCTAGGGACCGGAGCAATTTAGCCATTTTTGCTATGCAATGAATGAGGGACCATAATTTCTATCTCCCTCATTCATTGCACCTACACATATACAAAATGGGCTTTGATTTGATATGACATATGCATATATAAATTCTTTTTTTTTTTAATAACAAAAACCCCCCCCATTTTTTGGCAGTAATAATGTGTACATAATTAGTGTAGCCAACAGAAAGTAATTCAAAATAAATTATTTTATTTGTACTGATTTAAAGGGTATATCATATGTCTGGGATTTCAATTTATTTTAGGAGTTCTAGGTCACAAAATACAGTGAAATACAATTTTAGAATGTGGTATGTTTGTCTCCAATCTTTAATAGCCTCCTCGGCACTATATTTCTTATTGTTTTATTAAAACATTTTTTTTTTCCTTAAACGTTTTAAAACTTTTTTCCTTTTTTAAAATGTTAAAACATTTTTTTTAAACTATGGGGCACTAAGGGGTTATTTTTTTTTATTTACAGGGGCTTTGATACTTCGTATCTGTGAGTAGAATACAGTATTCTCAGCGGGCTCACAGCTGACCAAAACAGTGAGCTGCTGCCGGCTCTGTGCCTGTTACGGCTCTGCAATTAGCTCTCGCTGTGATCACAGGACTGTGACCACATAATCTGCTGTTGAGGGTCTGCCTTGGACCCCTCAACAGCAGTAACTCAATAAGCGCTGGCTCCTTCACCAGATTATCCAGTCACCGGTCGTTTATGAACTTAATGATCGTGACGCTATAATCCCATCATCAGTCGGGAAGGGGTTAAAGAGGAACTTTACCCATATCTTCAAAATAACAAAGTCACCATTAGAAAGGTTTAGTAATCTACAAAGACATACTTCTAGATAAATTGCCGGCTTTTTATTCTTTGCATATCTTATTTGACTTTTCCTCCCTATTCTTCTCACAGTGGCCATTTTAACTAAAGGCAGCTTACTAGATCTCCCTTTACTTCCTGGAACTCTGGCACATGTGACCATGCACATCATCTCAGGGGAGCAAAATGCCTTTCCCTGAGACCTCATGAGATTACAGAAGAGATTTCAGATGGGATTTCCCAGCCATGCTCTGCTGATGTTACCTTCCCAGGATGCAATGCTTTGGCACGATTACGGCCAAAGTGGACCAAGTGGTGGAAAAAAAATTTTGTAAAGTAAAAGAAAAATATGTTTAGCTAATGAATGCAAGATGATTTCATATCAGCATGCAGAGCTGTATACCGATGTGACTTTTAGTCAAAGGTGGTAAAGGTCCACCGCATTAGTTTTCATTTGTAGGCCAAAAATGTTCTCCACAAGTACAAAAAATACTTGATCTTGTCCGAAATGCTGAGGCCTAGGGGTTTAGGAGTTCAGTTCTGAAATTTGTATGTTGGACTATGTTCCTTTTCTCAAATACAATCATTAAAAAAAACTGAATACAAAAAAAACGTGAACAAAACATGGAAGAAAATAGTTAACTGACCTCTGTAAAGTCCAAAGAACCCTTCATACCGTAACACTTTTTTAAAACAGTCAAAGCTGTTCTTGTACATTAGCTCTCCTACGAACGATCCAGTTGACCGCTGGTTTTGCATCCGTGTTTTGACCAAATCAATGGGGTACACGGCAGTAGCACCAACAGCTGTTTAGAGAAAAGGGGCAACAAGAAGAAAAAAAAGTCATATTACCAAACAGTAACAAGAGACAATTTATCTCTAGTGCACGTGTACCTACGGCTGCCTACTTTTCATAAACTTAATGAGGTTACATTAAAAGGCTTGTCAAAGACTTTATTAAAGCAGATCACTAAGTCTGTCTCTGCTTATTAACTTTATAAAGTTGTTTTGAGCAGGACAAGCCCCCAGGTACAACTCATAACCCTCCGATGTACAACAGTACAATGGCTTGTGCACACGCGTCAATGATCCGTGAAGGAAAACTCTTGTGGGAATAAACAGGGAGGGCATTGTACAACCAGACATGGTAAAAGGGAGGGGGTGGATGTGATAATAGAGATAAAATGGCTACAGTCAACCATGACTAACCTCCAGCGATTGAGCCAAGAGCAAATCTGTAAGCAGACTCGGCCACTTGGACAAGGATAGTGCGAGACACTTCACCGGAGCCTTGATGCTTGAAAGAGAAACAACAACATCATGAGAGTTGGCCATTGTTGGAAGCCACCTGCCACTGTCCCATGCACACACAGGTAACAATTATATGAAGTAGTCATCTTTTTTTTTTTTAAGCAACTTAAACAAAAATGTATAAGCATATCCATGCTCTAAGGCCATAAGCCACAGATAACCATTAACACAACAGCATTTAGTGCAGAGAGCAGATTTTTGCACTGCCATGCCCAAGGCTGGTAAAAAGTAATAATCTTGCCTACATGCATAAGTTAGTGATTCCCGCTGTACATATTCCAGCACACGCTATATACTTGTTTATGAAAAAGTCTTCAATAAAATCCTTACAAACCAAAAGCAATGCTTTCTCCAGCGTGCTGCAATGAGTTGTCTGAGGGCAGGTTCACACCATTTTCCGGACCAGATCTGGTCCGGAAAATGGTGTGAACCTGCCCGCAGTTCCAGACCAGACAAAATGAGACATGCAGTATTTTTCTGGCCTGGAACGGACTGCGCTGGTGTGAACAGAGGCCAGAAATAGCATAGGGATACATTAGGATGCATTTGGCCCTCCAGCTGTGGTGAAACTACAAATCCCATGATGCATCTGTCTCAGGGAGTCATGCCTGTGAGAATCTTGCAATGCGTCATGGGATTTGTAGTTTTACCACAGCTGGAGGTTCCCCACCCCCGTTAGTAGATGGGCAGTAGGTGGAGACTGATCTACCATGTGATCTTGTACTGGACAGGAAGCTCAGGAAAGCAGAGCTGAGAGAGTTGGACTTGTTTGGAAACATTATAACTAAGTGTTTGGGCAAGAAATACTTTGCTGAGCATTGTATATTTGTTTTATCTGGACTATTGAAAATGTTTGAGAGTTTAATTCTACTTTAAAGTAGCACTGCATGCAAGGTCTAAATAGCCCAGAAGGGTAATCAGGAAGAAGAAACTGTACACTGTAGGGGCTTGTTCACACAGGTGCGCACTGATCTGCACTGATCAACACAAGGGGCACATAGAAAACAATTGGTTACACCAAACACGTGTGCATTGCAATTGCAGCATCTCTATTTTACACAGCACAATGCACATCGCCGCATCTCAATGTGCTGCAATGCATAGAGTTGGATGAAATGCCATTTTCATGGACATGCCGAGGCCTGGACCGGGACAGCCTCAGAAGACACAAATAAGGATTGGTAGACTCTTTTAAAGTTTCATTTACACACTTATTACATTAACAAGATAATTCTTTGTGGTTTATAAAGTTTTACAACAGAACAATTACAGTGAAAAGCTTGCTTCAATACGGCAAATTGCTTGCCTTTATAATCCCAATTTGGCGTCCCTGATAATAAGGATCATAAAATTATTATGTCAGGAGAGCTGAGAAGGAAATTATCACTTTTAAAACACTTACTTTTCTAATTGCATATGGTAAAGGTTTTTTGATTTCAACAGCCCTGTATTACAATTCAATGCTCAGTTTTCTTCCCTTTTTCTCCTTTTTGTAAGAAACCAGAAGTACTTCTTGATCTGCAGTTTTTTGATGAGGTAGCAGAAAAACACAGAGATTTGCCCTCATACTGGTGGTTTATTTCAAATGGTGGTTGTCAACCAGGGGGTTCATTCCTTGGGACCTCTTAGGCGCTTCAGCCAATATAGAGTATCATTGTTTATTTCCCTCCATCAAAAGCCCAAAAGACTTCCTATGTCCAGGTGCATGGGCATTTCTACAGGGTTTGGACTGTAAAAATGTCCAAAAAGTCAGCTTTACACTTAAAGGGTTATTAAACCCTCACATAGATGCAGTAGATGTATGCAAAAACTTTAAACAAAAACCTTTTCAAACAGGTTAAAACTTACCTGTGTCTTCGCCGCGCGCGCCCGTCCAAACATCTGAAGGGTCTCGGGCGGCCGCAAAGGATCTTGGGGCGGGCACATGCGCAGACCAGATGTTCGGCCGGGAGGCGAGGAGAGACACAAGCTAAGTCTATGGAGCAGCGTGCACCCGCACAGACACCGTGAGACATGAGAGAAGAGGACAGAGGAGTCAGCCCTGGATCAGAGACCCGCGCCAGCGCTGACGAACAGCCGACAAGGAGAAACCTGTCCTAGCAAAAAGACTGCAAATGCTGAGCTCTCTGAAAATGCTAGCTGCCTGGCTCTCAAGAACCCCCTCCTATTTCAGTGCAAGGGAGGAAGCCAAATCAGTGCCAAATGATTTTGTTACTGCACCCCGTACAATGCATTATGTGATACAAATTTCATTATACGCCAAACTTTACTCTCGCTTCTCCTCTAAAGCTTTTCACCCCAGAAGGGGCCTAATCAGAGGTGGAGGGTTTTTTGTTTGTTTTGTTTTCTATTAGCATACCTATAGATCTGTTTCATGGCACCTTGCTTATCATGATTGTTATTAATAACACTATTAGTTTTAATTAACTAGATTTAAATTGCAGTTTGATTAAATTAAGTGGATTTTAGTGGAGGGATTGTACAGGCTTAACGATGAGAAGGGACATGAATATGGACATTATTGCTGCCATTATCATGCCTTGTCCCTTTAAATGTAGGAATTCAAAGTAATAAAATGTGTATAAATACACGCCTCACCAACCTCCCACCAAAACTCCCTGCCTCAGTTATTAAGCCACATCTGGGGTGAAACGTTAGTGAAGAGCAGGGTCTGGTGCATAATGTCATATACACAATACGTTGCACATGGTGCAATCATTGTTATAGAAATGAAAAAGAAATAATGTGGTGTTGACCCATCTTACTCTAATGTAGACTTTTGGGAAAAAGAGACCCCTGCATAGCCATAGCACACACAGACGGTGGTGGGGGTAGTCCACCTTGAGTAGTACCACTTGTTGCTAGTGCTTCAAGTCACTGACCTAGAACAAGTATTCACATATGGACCTCTTATGCATCTTTTTCTTTTGTATCTGCATACTTCCTCCAGGTCATGGACTTGGAAACCTTTAGGCACATCTGTGCTGGGTGGTGTGCTAAAGGGCAGTTTGCGTTTTTTACACTGTCTATGTTCATTGGTATGCCATTCACAATAAATGGCAGTGCAGATATACTGCGCATTGAGTACACTAAAGTTACACTTTTTCATCCAAGCCTGATATAATGTTAGAATGGGATACTGCAGTAAATGCCCATGAACAAAGCTATTTTCAACAATTAGCTACAATGTTCAGAGCTTTTACCTCCAAAAGCTTTTACCTCCAAAAAGCTTTTACCTCCAAAAGCTTTTACCTCCAAAAAGCTTTCCTTTCTGCTATTAAATTTAAACTGAATCAATCACAAACCTGAACCCTTGTATGAGGAGGTTCTAATGGGAGGAGCAAGTTCTTCTGGGGTATTAAAGAACACTAGGAAAACTTTTTCTTAACCGTGGAGCTACCCACACACTTCAAGGGTCAAGTGCTTGTTTATGACTAGGTTCAAAAATAAAGATATACTCGCCCAAAGCTCCGGAGCCAGCCAGCTGTCACAGCCGTCTACTCCTCCGCCGCAGCACTGGAATCTTTCTCAGCCTCCTCATGTCTATACACCGTGTATAGACGTGATGATTTATGGGACCTTAGAGCGCTGCAGAGAGGGGGAGAGACACTGGAAGGATCGGTCTAAGAAAAAGCTGACTTGGATCTTCTGGTGAGAATAACTTTTTTTTTAACCTAGACAGAAACAAGCACTTAACTCTTGCAGTGTGGGGGTAAAACATTTCCTGGAGTTCTCCTTAAAGGAAACGTATTCAATGTTCTGGAACTTGTATGTGGCACATGCTTCAGGGAAAAAAGCTATCCTTCTAAGAAGCTTCACAAAAAGGTATGTTTCTCCTTTTAAGTAGAAGCACCAAAAGCTATTCATGTTTCACACCTGTCCACACATCAATGGCAGCATGAATTAAAAAAATTAAGTAGATTTCTATTTCACTTTAGTCTGCACTACATTGCTCGGCAGATGTGGGAAATACAGTATATGCAATAAATACATAGGTGAGGTGAGGGAGGTAAATTAATCTTTACAGTAAACATACACAAAACAAAATAAGCTTTTCAGAACATAAAACTATCCTTAGAGATCAAACTTACAAAAACAGAAACATTAACATCCATAAAATAGTTACAATGTGACCAGTACAAGCTATGAATAAGCAAGCTTTGCGATCTATTAGCTTTATAGCAGTAATGTTTCACTCCACAGGGGTTTAGAAAACTACAAAGAAGCCAGGTTAGTGACAACATATTCAAGCAAAAGGCCAAACTACTCAGTGCCTAATATTCCAATGGCCAGATTATTAGTGTTTATTAATAGAGTCCCAAATCTGGAATAGAAAGGCTCCCTGGATAGGAACAAATGAATAATGTGGTGTAATGAAGTAGTGGACTTGTAACAAAGCCGTTAGTGAAGGATCTCTTTTACTGTACAGTATTCGTCTCACACGAATGTGAAATTTGTCACGTTCACCTAAATGTATAAACTAACATTGCAGTTAAACTAACATTGCAGTTAAAGTGGCTATATTTGTGCCTGGAAAGGATCCCAGATCTCAGAACCCAGGCAATATAGTGGTCCTTTAAAGGAGAACTATGAGGTGAGTGAAAAATCCCTCATCCTCATAGTTCGAGCCGACGTGCAACAATGAAACTGTCACACGTCGGCTCAATAGATCGGGAAGTGAGCTAACACATACCGTTGCTTGCTCACCTCTCGTTCATCTCCCTGCAGGGATTCCCCCCCTCCTCGATCCTCAGGTGCTGACTGGAGTACCGGATGGAGAAGGGGGCGGGCACAGCTGACTCTGCCTCTAGGCAAAGCCAGCTGTCCCTCACGCTGCTGGGTGGATCCAGATAGTATTGTCGGGATCCGTCCCAGCTGCAGCGGAGCTCAGTATACTGCGATCTGTAGCTCGCTATATACTGAGCTTTGGGTCACGGGACGATGCTAGTATATGTCCTCCCGTGACCCTTAAGAGAACTATGGGGA